AAAAAAGTAAGATGAAATAAAGCTAATGTACCACTGTATAAAACGAACATGGTGTAAAGGAAAATGATCAAAACAAATTAAGACTAACCAGTAATAAAACTCCCGAAAGCGTCCACCAGGAATGATAAATGGATGAGGGACATACAAAAGAGAATAGTGATCTTGATGTTTACGAACATCTTCCCGTACCTAAATTCATGACATAAAAACTGCCTACGAAGCTGCTTGGGAAGAAAACAAACCCGTCTACATAGATCTCTCCAAATACGATGCAAATGAAGTGCCCACCGTCGATGGTGGTAATCATGTATACTCAGAAAGGTCGAAGGGAAATCGACCCAGTCGCGAGGATACCATTCCACAAGTTCTGTGCCTGGCGGATTGAAATGCGAGTTCACAAACTCTCGCAGTACAGCAACATCCCTTGCTTTCTCTCCTAACTCGTCGAAGTTTCTTAGTGTAGCAACTGAAAAATTTACTAGTTTTGTTTCATGCTCAGAAATAGGCGACTGTGATGAGCCCTGCAGACTGTCGCGACGCAACCATTTCGCATCCCATTAAGAACCGCACGGCGCACTTTTTATGTCTGCCGTAACTTCCCATAAAATAAAAGAGCTTACGAAGTGCCTCATGGGAGAAAACCGCCAATGATCATTTTCAAGAATACTAAGCATTTAGATAGTAAAACTAATTTTTTGTTGTTGAGGCGAAGCGATAAAAACGGGAAAATAACCAGTAGTCTTTGTATATTTAGTTCCGGTGGTAACTACCCTATCCCTTTCGGTTTCATTGATATGTAGCAAGAGTTTTAAAGCTTTCTGCCTCAATGCAATCCATCCTCCTCATTCTTGATCGAAACAAAAGGTGAGGAGCACAAGTGCATTCAAATTGACACAAGATTATGTCCACAACGCAATACAGGCCACTTGAAAACTGGTCCAGTACTTCTAATAGGCGCATCAACTTAGAAAAATGCTACGAATAAGGACCACAATCGAAGCGAATGTTTGCGAAACCAGCGAATCACGAATGACGGTTCCAAAAGTTTGAATTTTCGCAAAACTCCAACAAATGTA